TTCGCACTATTATATACAATATAAACTGAGTAATCCACCTTATATTGAAGACTTTACTAATATAATATACTTAATATACTTAGTATATTGACCTACTAATTCTCACACACTGTTATTGATGGTTATCAAGCGCCGGCGCCAACGTTTCCACAGTCCATTGATATAACTATACTATTAGAATTTAGAAAACATAATAATTTAATTGTCATCATCAAAATATAAAATGGTAAATTCAATTTTTTTTTTTATCAGTATTATGATTTTGTAAATATGTAATATTAATGCACTACATAAGTCTTAATAGTCTTATAGTTATAATCACGTCAAAAACACTTCATGTAAAAAAAAAACCTAAGTTAAAAAATAAATTAATTTAGTAATGAATAATGATTAAATTTTTAAAAGATGTGGTTAGTATGGAAACTAAGTAAARTGCCATTTTATAATATTACAAATACCTATGACGAAAAATAATATCAATTGTAATGTTAAATACTTGGTCAACATATTTTTTAGGTAACGATTTAGCAGGACRTAGGTCGTAGGAGTGCCTACYTAAATAAATACAAATAAGTAACCACTATAGTATTTTTATAATTAATAATGTATAAACAACATGTTGACTAAGTATTTAAAATTACAATTGATCTTATTTGTCATCATAGGTATTTGTAATATTATAAAATGGCATTTCACTTAGTTTCCATATTATTATTATTATATCACGTCTTTTAAATATTTAATCATTACTAAATTTATTTTTTTTAACTTAGCTTTTTTTTTACTCGAAGTGTTTTTGGTGTGATATCAGCTATTTTTTATTATGTCCGCGGCGACTGGCATCATTTTCAATAATAAGTACTTATTTTTTTTTATTAATTGTTTAAGRCATCAACTACATGATTATTATCCGGCGTTACATTTTTAAATTACATTAATTGCTTACATATATTGCTTAATTGCTACTACCTATTTTTACAAATGTGCATTTTAATCTTATGTTCGAAATATTTAAATAAGTTGACGCAGTTCTGTTGAGTTGACGAAATTAAAGAGTCTTTTGGCCGCGCGTCTCCGGAGTGGGTACTAAYATCTCGTAGAGTGTCTCAGGAAGTTTCAGTTCAATGCGCCTTTCACTAAGTACTTATTTATTTCTATTGTTTGCCGAAATATATAGCTGTTTTCTGTTAATTGCCACTTGTGTTGTATGAAAAAATAATTTCTTACAACTTAGGTGCCTACCTATAAGTACATTTTATTGGGCCTATCAATGTATCTATCTATAAATATTTTTAAGCATAGTAATTTAAAAAGTAAGTATAGTATAAATTTGAGTATAATTACTTATTTCACATTTTGCAATTTATATCCTAATAACAGAGTTAAATTACTATAGCTGTAAGTATATAATATTAGTTGATGGRCACTGGACAGAAAGAAATATCAAACAGATTGTTTAAATAAATCTAAATACCTGCGTCCTGCCTGTACTATTCGATTGAGAAAATTATTGTAGCATAACTGGTAGGAGGTCCATTTCAATGGTATTCCTACTTACAAAATTTAAATTTCTGACCAAGTCAAACGTTTTTAYATCGTTTGAGCCGAAGTGTGCACGAAGTCTTATTTTATGTGCAAAAAACTTAAAGCGCTATCACAAAAACACCATTATTGTGTGGGGTTAGGAGAAGCATTGAAACGGAACACTCCTTTTTGAAATTTGAAATATATCTTATATAAATTAACGTCATATAGCAATATGTTTAATAGTATTTAACATTGTTACTATTGTCGTGTAAATTCCAATACATTTTGGTTCACGAAAAGTGATCGTTCAAGGCCGATTGGTGGTGCTCAAATATTGCTGAAACAAAGCGTTTTTTATATTGTACGTATTATAGTTGTCAGTTTTTAGATAGAAACAGTATATAGTTTTAAAAAGAGTTCTAATTTTGATAACCACTAGTGATGTTAATTTGCCACTTGCAGACGTAATTGCTCATTTTTCGTAAACCTGACTGTGAAAATAGTAAGAACATAATAAAGTACAAAACAATTCCTATTGTATAAATTATCAGCWAAGGTGGGCATTAACTTGTTCAAAAGTTAAAGTGAGGTTAAAATGTTAATTTTGTTAACTTTTTAATTTAACTAGTTAATTAATTTTATTTTTAACTTACTATTAACTTATTCAGTTAACATTTTTATTCTTACAACTTAACTTTTTGTAGTAGATTATAGTCGTCGTGTAATAATYGAGTTAATTTTATTTCATGGCATACGTTATTATCAACTAGACAGTAGGTATTGAATCATTGACTTTTTTTCGATTTTGGTAATTTATTTTCGAATTATTTAGTATAGTAATCTAATTCTTTACGCAGTGTTAAACGTCTATGGTAAATGTAACCTAATTAATAAAACTAACATAAATTAAGACGGGTTTTCAATGGTAAAACTCTTGCTCCTGTTATTATACGTTCGTAGCTACTACGCTTCGCGTCACTACCGTCGCGCTGGATATTTAATACTATAATATATATTATAATCGTATAAAATAAACTACAAACCAAGATAATACATATATTATAACTAAAATAATATACTAATCAGAATCTAATGAGTAGATAAGGATTTAATTTTTATATGCACACATCATTCGTATTATTTATGTCAAATTTAATTGTTTGATAATTTTTCAATATTTCATTGTAGACAATAATTGTATATTATTTATTATTACGCTTTGTATTCAGAGACTAAAATATAATATAGTCCTTAAAAATAACTACCCACATAGGTTATATTTATATCTGTATCATAATTATTATATTATATAATATTAAATAGTATAGATGATTCACTAAAAACGATTGACTCGATATATTATAGTGGGGAAATGGAACTCAGTACATCGCACATTCTACAGATTTATTTTAAATAGTAGCCACTAACCAAACGACCGTGGACCGTTTGACTGTACATGAGTACAACTTATCCATTGTGCCTTTTTTTTCGCATTTATCTCCGACAGATATTAAGTGTTTTATGTTTGATACACCTTATAATTGTAATTATTATTCAAACTAAATATCGTGTGACGTTATTTCAGTCATTGAGAAGGAACTTCGGTTCATATTATATTATGATTACAAATACCACGTGAGTATTTTATAATAATATGATCAAAAGCCAWAACCTATTTAAAAAAATCCTTGAAAATCAGTACCTTMGAGACTAAAACSAAAAGAAATTTGTCAGAAACATAAATATCCGAAAAATATTTTATAGTCTAGATGGGACTTAAATACTTAATAATAACAACAAAAGAATCAACAAAGATAAAATAACTGACATAKAGGCAWRAGCAATGATAGTTTTTGTGAAAGTTWACCTTAAGATGAGGACGCTACACCCGCATGTGCTGTCTCCGTCTTACAAGTGCGTAACATTGCAAAAACTGTTTCGCGCGGGAAAGAACCRRGAAGGCTACAGTTATAACTAAGAAACGAAATTTTCACCACATAATAAGGAGAACATTTACTGTGCAACGTTGTTTTCAATTTTTCGATATCACAAATATAAAAAAAGTTCTTATTGTTTCAAAATTCATTATTTTTGCGTTTTTCAAAATCGAATAACTTTTTTTTCAGTTCTTATATCAAAAAAATAAAAACAGCGTTGCACAGTTGAAATTCCCTTTTATCTGTGGTGAGAATTTCGTTTCTTAGTTATTACTGTAGCCTTCTCGGGTCTTTCCCGCGTGAAACAGTTTTTGCAATGTTACGTACTTGTAAGACGGAGACAACACGTGCGGGTGTAGCGTCCTCTTAAGACAAAGTTGTAATGATCATCGTTGCCAAAACAATACAACGTATCTCCAAAATGTATTTTTTCAGGAAACGCCGCATTAACTGATACGGGTACCAATGATACTAGGTATTATGCATGACAATGTTTTAACATTTATTCTCTCGTTGGGATTTGCATTATGTGTGGTATTTTCAGTTGCGTACTCAGGGGTTGGGTTTTAGGATTCTGAGCCCCTTTGAAATTTTTTCATTTAACAAAAAAATATTTACCATTTCAATATATAGAGTCGATCAATTGTTGGTAATTTTTAATAGATGTAAATTAAATTTTTAATTTATTATGAATTATAACTAATTATATAAAAACTGTTAAACAAAATGTTTAATTATTTACTCATGTAMAACCCTAACCGAACTAAAATCCTSCGTACGCTACTGGGTATTTTAACTACATTATGTGTTTATATTTCTGTAAAATTTGAAATGTATGACTCATTTTGTATTTTTTTGGAGATACATATTTTGTATTWTTTTGAAACGATGTTATATTATAATTAGATACATCTTAATAATAATTAAAACATTAAATATTATTATATTTGTAATAAATTACCAGGTTAATTATGTGGTGTCTCCCTCGAAAATTCAGTTTTGTTAAATTTGTTAGGAGCGTAAAGACAAAGCTTATAGAATAATATGTTATAGAATATTTAAACCCTCCCCCGCCTAATATTAGCCATGATTTCCATCTATAAATATAATCTGATTGTATTAATATATATATCATTACATATAAGTATGCAGTTGAATATAGTTTTATTTAGGTAGTTGTAAATTATACTGAATTTACTTATCGCCATATTATTGCTAGACAGGTTGTAAACTGTCATGACAATTATTACTATTGTTTTAAATAATAATAAAATAAAATTGTATTTATACTATAGTATGAAAAATATAATATTCAAATACGCAAGAGACTTGAGGTTGATATTTTTACTGAAATGGATATACCTATTTTTATTTTTATATCGTTACACCATTTATTTTAAAGTAAAGAATATTATAGATCTTCAACACGTTATAAATTTAAATATTTTTTATAAAAATAATAAAATAATACGCTATTTTTTTATCCATAAAAATTAGATTATTTGTGTTTAATTATAAGTTAAATACAAATTAGATTAAATGAGAAAATTAAAAAAAATAAATAATTTTAGAGTAGTAGAAAAAGAAACTTCTTAATTTCGTCTACCTTTCAGTCATTGTCATAATATATATATACTTTTCACTTTTCCCTTGGATATCAAATTAATCGAGATGTAACTTTTGGTTGAATTATCAAAAATAAAAAATGTTCATGTCAAATTAACGATGTACMTACATTAGTTATAATTATGATTAAGCATTTTGTATGAGAAGAGTCAATATAATGAGTAAACACATACCTCACAATAAAATATAATCAAACGATATAATTGTGTTTTTTTATTACAGGTAACTTGTCTTAATAATTCATTTATTAGGAGCAATAATTTACGCATTTGACAGAGAAGAACCGAAACACTTTCGAAGATGCTTAAATCGGGAGTTCATAGACAAATATACGCCACTATAGCCGGTAAGAGCACACGTATAATAAACGAGCATACAATAATTTCTAGATAAAAATTATGATTGATCTTTAATTTCTTAACACAAAACAACAAGTCACATATATAACATAATAGTCATAAATTTAAATAAAAATGTTTGGTGAATTATATTTTTAAAGTATTTAAAAAACTATAAGAATTTAAATTATAAGTGGAGCGATATTTCATCACTTTTTAAGACGATAAAAGTTACTTATTTGATTTTATACTGCATTTTTTCTGATTGGAAAAATAATCTTGTTGATACTTAAGGGGATAAAAAATAAATAATGTAATATTGTAAACTGTATATAAATTTGAAAATAATATATAAACGCAGTTTTTAAATACACATTATAAGTTTTAATTTGAACGAAATTAGACATTTAAACAAAGAATAATGATTTTTGTTATTTTGTTATAATATTAATATTATTTATGGGTACTTGAAACTTTTAAAATATATTATWTTACACACAGTGGAATGACATTTTTCGAAAAATGTTAATTTAACCTACTGTAGTACCTACAAATGACTTATAGTTCAATAAAATTACATTAATCTCAATAATATCATATCGGTACAATATACTTAGACATAATGATATTAGAGACTGACAAATCGTCTTCAAATTTAACACATCCACTACGGTGACTGCTTTGAAACTTAATGTACATCTGAGTGTTAGTAGTGTTATCCAATCGCCATTTTTCAATTTGAGAACAACAATTTATCAGTTTATCCAAACTAAATCTGATTCTATGAACTTTCCTCACTAATTCAAAATTATTTTTTCTACATATTATTAATTTATAAATCATACAGTAAAAAGAGGTCGTTATTCATATTATACTCATTTATATAATACTTATAAAATAACTGCATTTAAATATTTACACAAAACATTTTKAATTAAAGCTACTGACTTTCCGGTATCTATATAGATCAAAATTGCACATATTATTATTAAACAAAATTATTTCCTTCTGCATGAATATTCTACTTAAAAATGGAATGAGTCACAATATCTACTGCTAAAACTGTGATATTAAATGACCTGTTTTAAATAGGTTTAATTGTTTTTGGATTTAACTGTCTTTAATATACTTACATCAATATGATTTATGAATATCTACCTAATATAGGAGTCTATAAATAGTTAATACTAATCTAGTAAGTAGTAATATTATTACTTTATACAATAATGTAACTGGAATCTGGAACACTAGATTATGAATTTTGTGTTAACCGAGTATAATTATTATTAATAAGTAATTACTATAGTATAGTTTATGACTTGATGACTGATGAATATCAATATTATACTTTAACTATAAATAAGTCCCATTGAGTATTACTAAAGGCGTTTAGATTAATCAAATAATTTAAATATAGAAATTGTTGCTGCATAAAGTGATTAACATATCGAACAATTAAAGTTAATGTTAGATATATCTAAAATAATAATATGCTTATGACTTATCGTCAGCAATTAAAACCTTGTGCAGTTTAGTTTTACTATGACGTTTGCATTATAATAAACGATGACAATGGGAATAAAAACATACCGAAATTTCATCAACTTTTTATTATATTTTAAACGAGAAGTCATCGAACCGAGAATACAACCATCTGCTTGCATGGTTCATAATATTTTGCAATAATCAAATGTTATAGGTACCCATGTAGACGGAAATTTATGAAAAGGACGTGTTTATACTGTGTGAATACTTTTTTTTTTTAATTTTGATGGGTCTGAGTCTCACCTTAGGGCTTGTTTTATAATTTTGTATCAGTATTTGTATCAAATTGCCTTAATATACCAATATTTTTATGCAAAGTTGATTAGATTTTTTGGACACCAATCTATTATACAAATATGTTGGAGATTGTACTAAAAAAGTCGTATTTTTTATGAATAATAATATTTAAAGATAACATATTTTAGAACACTATTATGCGAGCAGTGGCTTGACTAATTTTTTTCTACATTTAACGATGCAAATTTACCAATATTACAATTTGTTATAATTGTTATGGATTTGATAAACAATTTTCTAATTTCGGTTGTAATTAATTTAATATTTATTTATTACAAGAATCAGGTTATGGCCCAACTGTAAATAGCATGATGTAAAGTGATGCTAAGTATTTTTCCTTAAATATGTATCTTAATACCTGTTAAAAAAATAAATAGATGTTCAATAAATAAGACATGTTGCAAGCGTGTTATACCTACCTATGTACAATTTTTACACACAAAATTAAATAACATTTTTTTTTTACGGGACAAAATTAACAAACTTTCAAAAAGAGCGATCAAAATTATTGTAGCATTTGTAGATAGTATATATTAAATTATAAACTATGACAATTGAGCAGATATAGTGTTTTACGCAAATATAGTTTTGTTCTCGGTAACTCAAACATCGACATTAAACGTAAAAGTTATATTACTAAATTTTGAATACTATAATAGGAAATTAATATGTTTAACAATTTCATTTTGAAATATAAATAAAAAAAAATCATAATATCAATTTCGATTACTTAATTTGTAATATGACTTAATATAGAATTTATGATTGCGTTAGTGGCTTTATAGTTCAATATAACAATAAGAGGTACCTAATACCTATATATATAGTTAATCTATTTACAATTTACATGTATTAAGTTACACTCTACCGTGTCTATCTGGCTACCTATACAGTATAGGTTATACACTATTATATTGTTTTAGGTTCCGTAATATTTAAGTATAGGCTATACTTAAATATTACGGAACCTAAAACAATATAATAGTGAAAAATATCAATAAGTATAGCTGTGTAGACTATGTTTGGTATGTTTGGAATGCTTATATAATATGCATTTCGTTAATTAGTCAGACCCTCAAATTAATGCGACTTGGATCAAACTTAGAGTTTAGACCTGTAACTACATAACATTTAATATTTTATATTCTCTGAATAATATACTCTGCACGATACGTTCATTACGATGTAATAATATGATGATATATTATAACCAGGGCCAGGGCTCATAACTTATAGCTCTAAAAAAGGTTGTTATAAGCGCTTAAAATCATAAGACCATTCTGGTCTTATGGAATAGCAATCTGRGGCCCAGCCAAGCCCTCGAACATCAGGCCAATTCAGGCTTTTCAATCAATAGCGCTAAGGTTAGTAACCAAAGCCCCCTGGTACGTTTCAAAATCTACCTTACACAATGACTTAAAAATATTAACTACCACTGAACTAGCCAAAACAATGTATACACGTTTCCACCAAAATTTAAGCACTCATCACAATACTATTTAATATCACACATGTCCTCCCTCACCCTCCCAAAAAACCCACCACGCAGACTAAAGCGAAAATGGTGTAGAGTCGTAGAGACCTATTAAATTAGTAAAGGAGGTGTTACCATTGGGTTTCWTCCTCATCACGTCATTCATGCTTCTTTATTCTGTTTTTATCTTATTTGCTTATTATAATTATTGTGTACAGATTGTAAATTGTCTTTCTTAATAAAAAAAAAAAAATAAGCGCTTAAATATGCTTTAAAAAGTATTCATATAAGCGCTTAAATATGTACTAAAAAATACTAAAATATGTAAAAAAACATTTGTATACAAAAGTTATTATTTATTATATTATTTTATTATTTTAGCTTCTATTATTAAAAAAAAAATTGATATATATATAACATCGGAATTATTGTACTTTATTGTATCATAAACTACTTGTGCTACTCATTTATTATGCGATTGGTCTGTTAAAAAAAAATTTATAAATTTATAGGCTACTGAAAAAAATTTTTAAAAAATAAATGATCAAAATCATGCAAAAATCCAAAAATAAGCGAAAAAAAGCAAAATAGCACTTAAACTCTAGAATATGCAAAAATATGCAACATAAAATTTGCCTGTAATTAATAAAATTTGTATGTAGCTTCTTGGTTATCTGAAACAAATGTATAGCGCACATAATAGGTACCTCTAGGACCTCACAAAAAAAAAAAAATACAAATGCTAGAAGTTATGAGCCCCGATTATAACCAACCGCGGCTCCCATATTATATTATTTATTATTATGATTATTAATATAGCGTCCATGTCGATATTCATCAGTGGCATGTGGCTGGGATGGCCAAGCTCGGCGTCCGAGAAGTTCATGAAGCACCAGACGGGCGATCTACACGTGACCTACGACCAGCTGTCATGGATAGTGTGCATGATGGACCTGGGCAATTTTATCAGCCCGCTGTTCGGCGGCTACCTGATGGACCGCTACGGCCGGAAGATGGTGATCGCCGCCCTCGGCCCACTGTTCATCGTCTCCTGGACGCTGACGCTGTTCGTGCCCACCACGGTCGCCCTGTACACGGCCAGGTTGATGGCGGGATTGGGCAAGGGTATCTCGTACACGGTGGTGCCGGTGTTCCTGGGTGAGATCGCGGGCGTTGGCATCCGCGGCGCCCTAGGCAGCGTGTTTACCATACAGCTCAGCGGCGGCGTCCTGTTCGAAGTGATCGTCGGCCCGTACGTGTCGTACCACGCGCTCAACGCTACGTCCGCCGTCGTGCCCGTGCTGTTCTTCATCGCGTTCCTCTGGGTGCCCGAGTCACCGTACTACCTRCTCAAGGTGGGCAGGGCGGCTGATGCAGCTCGGTGCCTGCGCTGGTACAGGGGCTGTGACGCCGARAGTGGCAGCGGCGACGAAGACATAGACGCCACCGTGGCCACAGAGCTCCGGCTGATGGAGACCAACGTGCGGAAGGACATGGAAAACGGGTCAGCGATCGGCGAGCTGTTCACCAACCGGAACAACTTACGCGCGCTGGCCGTGGTGGTGGTGGCGTGCGCTGGACAGCGTGCCGGAGGCATCAGCAGCCTGACAGCGTACTCCGCGCTCATTTTGCCCGAACCTTCACCAATCCTGGGCAAGTTCGAGTTCATAATCGCGTTCGCCATCGTCCTGGTGGTGGTCAACTTCGTCGGGTTGGCCCTGGTCGACCGGGTGGGCCGGAAGCCACTGCTGATCGGCTCCGAGGTGGGCCTGGGAGTGGTCACGTTCGTCTTCGGCGTCTATTACTTCGCGGCCGAGCACTTCGCGGGCGCCGCAGCGGCGTACCGGTGGCTTCCGTACGCGTGTCACACCACGTTCGCCGCCACGTTCTCCATCGGCATTGGCTTCATACCCGTGGTGTTCCTCGGCGAGATGTTTCCGGTAAACGTCCGGTCCCGGTGCTCGGCGATCGCGTCCGTCACGCTCGCCTTCTTCTCGTTCGTGTCCAACAAGACGTTCCTCGTCGTCTCGCACTGGTACGGCTACTACACCATGTTCTGGACATTCTCCGCCGTCAACTTTGCCTGCGCGTATTTCTCGCACAGGTACGCGGTCGAGACCACTGGCAAGACGTTCTTGGAAATCCAAGAAATCCTGGACGACAGCGTCAGAAACGGACCCAATACGCGGAGGAAAAACGCAAAAATACCGCAAGTCATTTCCTACGACAATCCATCGGTCGATATTTAGATAAATTATAAATATATACTATTATTCTAAATATTATTGTATTAGGTTTATTATATAAAGACGCCCGTTTAGTATCTTTTATCCGCGAGTTCACGATTCTAGGTTTTAAAATCATAGGTATACATGATATGTTGAGATAATATATATTGTGTGTATAGGTATAATAATTACTGTAGAGTGMAGGGTGGTTCAGTATAAAGTGAAGATCTGTTGTCATAGAATTCCTAAAGCCACTTCAGAACAAAATTATCGAAAAAAATCATATTTTTTTCACTTATTTTTTTTTTTTTCTAATGACGTAGTAATTTTTTACACCTATATTTATTATACACTTTTAATGTCATATTCCTCAATAATAAATCTACCTGTACTTGTAATTTTTTCAATAAATGTTGTGTCACAATGACTTAAAATTAACATACAAGTATTTTTCCAGATAATGAGTGATTAATGTTAAAAGAGTGATGTGTACATGTGATGTAGACAGGTAGGTTATAGATAGGTATTATATAGATGTTATAGATATTGTACTATTATAGTGGTGTTGCGAGTCCYGTCACTTTGCCGCTATTGCTATGTCTAAAATTTTTGAGAATCAATTGGATGTAAATAGGTAGGTATATTTAAAATTATATAGGTATATAATAATTATAATATATGTTATGGACTTATAATTATTTTTATTAATATTATCTATTTTGTTTGAAACAATTTTTAACGTTCTAACAAGGTTGAAATTGTTAATCACATACGGT